CTGCCGTTCCGCCCGTTCCCGTCTATCAATATATTGTCGGGTTTGAGGTCTCTGTGAATGATCTGTGGATTCAATTCATGCAAATACTGAACACTTTCTAATATCTGACGGAATATTTCACACGAAATGAAGTACTCATAAGAACTCATGGCTTCCCCTAAGTCTCTGTCAAATACTTTTGGTTTAATTTCGAGAATATTCCTTAAATTCTGTGAACAGAACTCCATCTGAATGTAAAGGAAGTTGGTTTCGGGCCATGAGTTGTAATACTGGACCACATATTCTGAACGAACTTTTCCTAAATTCTTCACTTCATTCAGAATGCTTTTAATATAATCCTCAGAAGAATCTAAAATTATTATAAAAATTTAAAACTATTTGTCGAATAATTTTCATTTATATTTACCCTTCAATTGTACTCTTTTGACGGCATATATGTGTTCATCGAATCTATGTTTCACTTTAAATACTGTCCCAAAACCTCCCGATCCTATTGCCGACAACTCTTCGAAAAGGTTTTGGTAATGGCTTTCAAATGAATTGTTTCCCACTTTTGGTACTAAAATATAAACACAATTACATAATAGTTTTAGTAAACTATTTATTATTGTTTAATCTTTAGTACGATATAACAGTCAAAAGCGTGTGAAATGAGCCCTAAATTGATATATAAGTCGATATATTTGGTATTAAACACAAAAAGTAATTTAATGATAATCTTATGTAATATTTTTACATTTACATTTTTATGCAATAATCTATAAAATAATGATTAAATAACTATACCTTCATTTGTATAAGAATTGGTGTTTAATATATTGTAAGTTATTTGTAGTTCATTGGCGTAATAATCAACAAAATTAGTGTAATTATATTGTTTAACTTCATGCGGGGATATAATTTCATAAATAAAATCTCCAGCTTTTATTATTAATTGCCTAGGATAATAATACGAGTGATGCTCATTAAATTGTAGAAAATTTAAGTTCAATGACATTTGTATCGGGGTACTTATTTTTTGCGATTGTTTCATATCATCCATATAATGGCCACAAATATATATTATATTATTATTTGATAAAAAACACGTAAATTCGCTGTACTTAGTATATGATGAACTGATTGATTGGATATCATTAAGATTTGGGATCAATTTGGGTGACAATGAATTAACGTCATTTGATTTATACCCCAATTCACCATGCACATTCCATCCCCAACTGAATACCAAACCCTCGACAGTAATGGCAAATGAATTATAATTAAAACAGAAAATACTTTTGATTTTATAATTGTTCTCAAATTCTATCAATACTGGTGTCCGTATTGTATTATATGTATTATTTCCAATTTGTCCAGAGCCATGATAACCCCACGCATACACCTGTCCATTGGTGGTGAGGGCCAGGGAGTGCATATAATCACAACATATTTGTGTGATATTCTTGTCATTCAATTCCGATATGATTTCAAAACCTAATCTTTTCGTGTGTCTACCCAATTGTCTGCAATCATTGTTACCCCCACTAAACACGTGATTCACGTGATTGATAGCTAACACAAAGTTCCAGCCATTCATAAATCGTTGTATCCTTTGATTACATAATTGTCGTATAATTTGTAGTGTTTTCACTTCATTCTCGTGATCCAAACCCAGACAACCACTAGTATTACTTCCCATACCATAAACCAAGTCATTGTTTGTGATAAATATTATATTTTCATATTTATCCTTGTATACATAACTATTGAAAACATAAAATAATTTAATTTCGTGTTTAATATTCGCGTCAATCGTATCACAAATGCGAAACTTATTCAAAAGTTCGCACATTTTGAATACAATTATAAAACACAATATTTATTGAAATAACAAAATAATAAAATTTTAAAATAAAACAAAAAACAATTAATTATTTTCAACAAAACCTAAAATGAAGTCCAAATGAATAGTGATATGAAAGGGTGTTGTCATTGAAAATATGTGATAACTATCCACTCATTCATACAAAACATTACTATTTAATAACGGGTCATATATTGGATTTAAATTCATTTATAATATAACTAATATTTGATACTTAAATTAGTACTGTTATAAATGTAAAAATATATTTTAATAATAAATATTAATACTATTCACAATGCTAACAGAACTGTTAACTAATAGCACTTTATTTATTTAATGGGGTTTTAAAATAATATATAATATTTCTGAAGGTATAGTGAATTACAATAGCTTTTGATAACAATAATTATCTCATTTGAAAGCCGATTTATCAATTAAGGGACAATCGTTTAGCATTGAAAACTTAGTAATATAAACCAAAAGCTTTAAATTGAAAGCTTACTCATAGACTTTGTATGAGTACGCTGTTAATTTAAAGCTTTTGATCTACATTACTAAGTTTTCAATGCTAACGATTGTCTCTTAATTGATAAATCGTATGTCATTTAGAAACCATTGGAAACACAGATATTTATTAACAATAGATTTTATGTGACTTTTATTTATTTAAAACTCATTTATTTCTAATAATCACTACATTTTGATTACAATATAACTCATATCCACACAAATAAATTAATATTTAATTACAACAAGAAAAAAATGAGGAAATTATATGTAAAAAAGGGTAACCATGGTCAAAACATTTATTATTTAAATCCTATTTGATATGAAATGTGTTATTATTGAATTAATTAAATATTAATTAATTTATTTGAGTGTTAAAATTAAACTAAATTTATTTGCTACCATTTAACTACACAAATATTACTATTTATTAAATTATGTTACATTAATTTTTTGTATGATCATGTTCATTTTAATTATCTTTATTTGAAATATTTTTAAGTATACTAGTTAAAATAAAATTAATATCGTATGTAATAATTTTTATGATTCAATTAAAGAAATTTTATTTTTTAGAAACTTAAATTTTAATAACTATTTAATTCAAATCTATATTAATAGAGGGCTGGTATGTCATACCGTAGAAACTGTACATCTCTTAGAAATTTATGTTAGAAACCAATTTTAAAAAATACTTTCAATTAATTTATTTAACATTTTATTTAACTAATAATAAATTAAAACATTTAATTGTATTAAAACCTACGAAAAGTAACTATAATTTCAAACATAATCTCATTTACGTCGGACTCAAGTGATTGATGGCAGAGATGTCTTGGATATGACAGTACTTCCGGTGCTTTTGGAGCTCTTCTTCAGCCAATTTGTACTTAAAGTCCAATTAATTCAACACTTTTTGTAACTCTTTATCCTCTGTTTGTATTCAAAAATCGATAACAAACTCAAAATACACTACAAAATAGTCGGTAGTATTGGTCGGGCTATGGGTAGTGGTCGGGGGCAGCGGCACCGATAGGGATGGCAGTTGTGACTGAAGGTAATTATAGTTATCCAGGTTCTTTGAAGATGATTCATTTGATTCTTGGTAAAACTTATGTTTAATCATTGAGGTTATGTGTAACGTCAGCACACATTTAATAGTTATATTATACATATGAAGTCAATTTATGTATCAAAAGTCAGTTTATGAACACAAAGGTTATCATAGGATTTAATGGGAAATGTTTTTAAAACCATTTAATTAAGTCTTTCTTTTGGGACTCATTTTCGTCTGTAATTTATTTTTCGCAAAACCTCTCTCTTTAACGCACTTTCCTTATGGCACCGGACTCTCTATAATAGCCTACATTACCATCACATCCCGTCTCCAAAGAGTTGTCACATTTGACATCATTTGCGATATCTTCGCACCGATTGTCACGATATCTGATCCCAACTTAAACTCTTCGTGTTGTCCGCAATCGACACAACAGTTTCATAACAATTGTGTTTCACTCGTCTGACCGCCCGCACCTACCCTTTGCTTATAGTCTCTGTAATAACCGGATCTACAAAAGCAACCCCTAATGCATGCTTTTAGACACTTCACTTTTGAGTGCAATTATTTCAGATTATCAATTAATATGACATTGCTCAATATTCACGAGGTTGCTATATTAATTATTTATGTGTATTTTCTATAACAAATAGCTGTATTAAATTTAATACCACTTATCATGATATCATTGCATGTATGTCCACAATCGGACCCACATTCTAAGAAAACTTCATTTTGTGAACATTTTCCCCTGGGTGATTTTTATTTCTAAAATTTGGTGGACATGTGATAAATATTTTTGAAAATTCATGTAACTTTCTTAAAAAGGTTTATGCATTCAATTGCCAAACAAATTGTAGACAATAACATAAAATAGTAAAAAACGTGTTTTGAAACCATTTTAATAACAATTTAAATGCGATTTATAATTAAATAATGTAATATTTTGCAAATATGAAATTTGTTAATTTTTGTCTATAAAATAAATTTATTGAATAAATATATGACAGATTAAAAATGTTAATATTTAATTTCATTAAAACTGATAATAAATAAGAAATAATATGACATTAAAATTAATATGTTTAAATTAAAATATTTAAAATAAATTTACCGTATTCCCGCACGTCCACCGGCATGCCGATATAAAGTGAGGTTGATGAGATTGCCGTTATAGCCCGGTTACTGCCGTTATAGTTTACTTATAAATATTATTGACAATGCTAATTCAAATGTTAATTAATTTGAATTCAACTTTATTTATTTAATTTAGTGCTCAAAATAATATATTTCTGAATGTATTAGCGAGTTGTTAGTGAATGTATGAGTTGTTAGTGATTCAACACTTTGATTGCATTAATGATTGATTTATTTTTGCAATATTTCTGTATTTCTGTACTGTTTTTAGGAATAAATTGATTAAACATTTTATAAATTTTATGGATTTTAATTTACAATATCTATACATGTTATAGAAACCTGGCTGTTTAATGGTTTCAATTCACGTAATATACCAGTTTATTTTCTAGCAAGGTTATTAATAATTTATTATTAAGTTCTATACAATAACCATTAGTAATCTACACGATTAATTAGTCATTAATTTGTGCATTGTACAAATCTTACAGTTAAATTAGTATAAAAAGTGTGCACGATCATAAATAACCATCTGTTAAGTATTGTATATTTTATGGGATAAGATATAAAATAATTACTGATTAACTTTTGAACATTTTTACACATATTTCTATCATTTCATTGAACACAATGTAATCGTCTAATTGGTGTTGATTTATAAATTGTGTGAATACACTAATATTTGAGTGTATAATGTCCTTGCTAAGTGACCATTTATCACTCATATTTAATATCTCATTGCACCTTGGTCTAATAATAGGTCCAAATGAAACCATTGTATTGAACATGGGTAATATATTGGCTACATAAACATGTAGTAAGCTGTCGATGTACTTATCCAGTTCACTGCCACTGACATAAATATAATAAATGAAAATATTTAATAAATAAAACTAAAATACTGTACAATTGAATACATACTCCAAGAATATATCAAACAATTCCATAGAAATAATACCCAAACTATAAATGTCTGCTTTTGTGGTATACTTTGATTGATGCAATTCCGGTGCCATGTATTTAGGAGTTCCCTTATTTTTGGAGTGACTCTGAGATTCCGATCGGTGCTCAACAGCCAAACCAAAATCACATAATTTAACAAATCTACCGTTCCTTATATTTTCAGCTATTAATATGTTTTCGGGTTTGAGGTCTCTGTGAATGATCTGTGGATTCAATTCATGCAAATACTGAACACTTTCTAAGATCTGACGGAATATTTNTCCTTATATTTTCAGCTATTAATATGTTTTCGGGTTTGAGGTCTCTGTGAATGATCTGTGGATTCAATTCATGCAAATACTGAACACTTTCTAAGATCTGACGGAATATTTCACACGAAATGAAATACTCGATACAATTCATGGGATCTCTCGATTGTCTGTCAAATACTTTTGGTTTAATTTCGAGAATATTCTTTAGATTCTGTGAACAGAACTCCATCTGAATGTAGAGGTGTTTGCTTTCAGGCCATGAAGTGATATATTGGACCACAAAATCTGGATTAAGTTTTCTTAAATTCTTCACTTCCATCAAAATTTTGTTCATATATTCATCGCTAGATTCTGTGGTATATCATAATTATTATAAACACTTTAAATGAATATATTATAACTATATTATTTTTACTTTTAAACTCAATTCTTTTGACGGCATATATGTGTTCATCGAATCTATGCTTCACTTTAAATACTGTTCCAAAACCTCCCGACCCTATTGCCGACAACTCCTCGAAAAGGTTTTGATAATGGCTTTCAAATGAATTGTTTCCCACTTTTGGATCTAAAATATAACCACAATTACATAATATTATTAGTAAACTATTAATTATTGTTTAATCTTTAGTACGACATAACAGTCGAGAGCGTGTGAAATGAGCTCTAAATTGATATATAAGTCGATATATTTGGTATTAAACACAAAAAGTAATTTAAAGATAATCTTATGTAATAAAAGTTTAGTTTTTTATGCAATAATCTATAAAATAATGATTAATTAACTATACCTTCATTTGTATTAGAATTGGTGTTTAGTGTATTGTAAGTTATTTGTAGTTCATTTGCGAAATAATCAACAAAATTAGTGTAATTATATCGTTTAACTTCATGCGGGGATATAATTTCATGAATATAATCGTCAGCTTTTATTATTAATTGTAAGTTATTATTATACGAGTGATGCTCATTAAATTGTAGAACATTTAAGTTCAATAACATTTTAATCGGGGTAATTATTGCTTGCAATTGTTTCATATCATTTATATATTGGCCACAAATATATATTATATTACTATTCGATAGAAAACACGTAAACTTGTTGTTCTCGTTATATGCTGAACTGATTGATTGGATATCATTAAGATTTGGGATCAGTTTAGGTGACAATGAATTCATGTAATTTGGTGTATATCCCAATTGACCATATACATTCCAACCCCAACTGAATACCAAACCCTCGACAGTAATGGCAAATGAATTCAAATCAAAACAAAAAATACTTTTAATTTGATAATTGTTCTCAAATTCTATCAATACTGGTGTCCAGATTGTATTATTCCCAATTTGTCCCCAGTCATTTTCACCCCACCCATACACCTGTCCATTGTTGTTGAGTGCGAGTGAGTGCCAACGGCCACAACATATTTGTGTCATATTTTTGTCATTCAATTCCGATATTTTTTTATGTTTTCCAAATTCTTTGGCCAAAATACCTAACCTTTTTGTACGTCTACCCAATTGTCCGCATATATTGTTACCCCCACTGAACACATGCTTCATGTCATTGATAGCCAACACAAAGTCAAATCCAGTGATGAACTGTTGTATCCTTTGATTACATAATTGTGGTATAATTTGTGGTGTTTTCACTTCATTCTCGTGACCCAAACCCAGACAACCATCATGATTACTACCCAAACAGTAAACTGTATCATTGTTTGTCACAAAAATTATATTTTCATATTTATCCGTGTCTTCATAACTATTGAAAACATGAAATAATTTAATTTCGTGTTTAATATTCGCGTCAATCGTATCACAAATGCGAAACTTATTCAAAAGTTCACACATTTTGAACACAATTATAAAACACAATATTTATTAAAATAACAAAAAAAAATTAAAATAGAATAAAAACAGTTTATTATTTCCAACAAAACCTAAAATGAAGTCCAAATGAATAGTGATATGAAAGGGTGTTGTCATCGAAAATATGTGATAACTATCCACTCATTCATAAAAAAACATTATTATTTAATAACGCGTCATATATTGGATTTCAATTCATTTATAATATAACTAATATTTGATACTTAAATTAGTACTGTTATAAATGTAAAAATATATTTTAATACTAAATATTAATACTATTCACAATGCTAACAGAACTGTTAATTAATTTGATTACCACTTTATTTTTTAATGGTGTTTTAAAATAATATATAATATTTCTGAATGTATAGTGAATTACAATAGCTTTTGATAACAATAATTATCACATTTAGAAACCATTGGAAACAGATATTTATTAACAATAGATTTTATTTGACATTTATTTATTAAATACTCATTTATTTCTAATAAACACTACATTTTGATTACAATATAACTCTTATCCACACAAATAAATTAATATTTATTTGTCACCAGCAAAAAATGAAAAGATTATTTGTAAAAAGTGGAATCATGGTCAAAACATTTATTATTTAAATCCTATTTGATATGAAAGGTGTTTTTATTAAATTAAGTAAAAATTAAGTAATTTATTTGAGTGTTAAAATTAAACTACATTTAGTTGCAACTATTTAACTACACAAATATTACTATTTATTAAATTATGTTGCATTAATTGTTTTGTATGTACATGTTCATTCTAATTATTTATATTTGAAATATTTTTAAATATACTAGTTGAAATAAAATTAATATCGTAAGTAATAATTTGTATGAATAAATGAATGCAATTTTATTTTTTAGAAACTTTTAAATTTTAATAACTATTTAATTCATATCTATATTAATAGAGGGCTGGTATGTCATACCATAGAAACTGTACATGGGCGCAGATTAGCACAGGTAGCTCGAGAGGAACCTACACCAGTGGTGGTGCAGTGCTGTATGCGCTACCCATTGTACGACGCGGGTATAACCTGGTTACAGTGCAGCTGTAGGTGTCCCTTTTTGTCTAGTTCCACGTGTTCCCTAATAGGGGAGCCACAGTTCCAAGGTAATTCCTCACCCCTCTAGTTTCATTAAGGGGGTTGTGGTGGTTGTGGGGGAGTTCTCCGACGGGGCCTAAGCGGTGGTTTACCGTAGACTTAGCGCACCACCGAAAAGGGTTGTCTATGTGGACGTAAAACACGGATTCGTATGATTACTTGAGTGGACAGGTAGGGCGCCAGCGTTAGGCATACGACGAGAACGACTACCTGTGTGTTGTGTGGTTGTGGACAGACATGCTTTACCAGATAAATAGGAAATAAAATTTTTGAGAAATGACAGGAAATTAATAAATGTGTTATCAATAAGTTTACGGATTTATAGCCAAAAACCTTATGTATTAAAAGGTTTTAATTAATTTTGAATTTAATTAATTATTTTAATGGCTGTCTAATAAAAATAGATTTTAATTTTTATTATTATTTTAATATCACTTTCCAACTAAGCTTTTAAATTATAATATAATGTTTTTTATAAATTCTGCATAAAAATAAAACTTAACTATTTTAAACGCTAATTCAACTCATATTTAGTAACAAAATTGTCCTAGTCCTAATTAAGTAACAAACATATTGTAACTACGTAACATATATAATTAAATATTAGTTAGTTTTTATTAAAATGGTTGACACTAAAATTATTAACACTAATTTAATGGCAACAACAATTTTAAATTAATTTACTAAAATATAACCAAGCAAAACACACATATAATGCAAACACATTTTATTCATATTTAACAAGTCAACAAAAAATTAATAAAAATACATAAATAAATATAACATTTTTGAATTTATGAATAAACCGTATTAATTATTATAAATAGTAACCGGAGCAATTGCACTATATACCGAGAACCATTTTTAGATAACCACCTTGGTTACATTACAGTACGGATCTACAATAGAAAATACAATTTTAATAATCAATTACCATGCACATAAATCTCCCACATGTTTGATATGAACATTACCTTTGAGTTTGTTGGGAGTAATGGTGCTAATGGTGCCCAAAGTACTGGCCGGGCTTTGAGTGGTAGTCGGGGCGGCTGTGGTGACCGGAACTGAGACGCTAACAGTGCTCGAGGATGTTGTGTTTAAGGCACCGCTAAGTGTTACCGTAGGGTTGTATGCTGTAGTAGTGGTCGGGCTCGGGGCGGGTGTACTCGGGCTCGGGACGGGTGTACTAGGGCTCGGGGCGGGTGAGATCGGGATCGGGATGAACGGGCTCTGGTTCTGGACGAATGGGATCTGGGTCGATACGGGTGGGCTCGGGAAGAATGGGTTCGTGATGAGTGGGCTCGGGACTGGGGATTTAATTCCATTTGATATGAAAACACCTTCCATCACAGTATTGTTGGGAAACTTGACAACGCTATTAGGGAACATTAACCGACCATGGTCAGAGCTTCCAGGGATATTGGCGGGGATCGGGGCGCCCAACGATATATACGTGAATGTCTTATTAGGGGTCTGATTAGTATTACTGTTATCTAAAAGGGAATGGTTGCCCGTCTGGGATGAATGACCCGGGTTAGGGCTGACGATCGGGGGGTGCGGTACATGACCTCTACCCTGATTGACCAAATTGGGGTCGTCCGACGGTTTTTGACTAAAGGGCGGGATATTTGTGCGGATTATCTTGAACTCACTATTGGAGGTCGACTTTGAATTAGTATTAGCTATTAGGGAAAGGGAGCCGTTCGGGGATGTCTGACTCAGTCCCACTATGGCGTTGTTACTGTCTATGGATGACTGACTGCCAGCCACTCCGGTAATGCTACCGTTCCCGGATGTGGCACTCAGTTCCACTACGTGACTGTGATTGACTGAGGAGGATGTTATGTCAGCCAC